CAAGATTGGAAGAAAAGAGGTTGTTGGGGTGATCACGAAAAATTACTCTTCGGTAATGATAGTGAAAGAAGCAAGAAAAACAATGTATTCACTATGAGTCGATGGAACATACAGCTGTCAGTTGCACCAACATATTAGATGTCGCTAAGCGACGTGAGATTCTAAAGCGAAAGAATTCCTGTTACAATTGTGCAACCCCAGGCCATCGAGCCCATGTAAAGCACAAGGCTGTCATAAATGAGGACAAAAGTATCACACGTCAATTTGTCAACGAAAGGGCCCATGGATAATAATGAATAATAGCGAATGATAAAAGGGTTATGCAGGTATTCAACGTGAAGCAGTTGTGGATGAACTTGGACGTGAAAAACAGATAAGGCCCTTGATGCAGCACAAAGTAATCAACACACTATGATTTGGGACACAGTGATGCGTGTTACGATTGACACTGGGATAGGTAGTTCATACATTTGTAGTGCCCTTGTTACTGAGAGCTAAAACTGACACTAGTACGGAAAGAAAAGCGCTGAATCGAACAAATGTATGGGACTGTGGATAAAGTTGTCGAGGTATATGAAGTCTCACTGCAGTCGCTGGCTGTTCCTAGCTATGATATTAAGATAGAATGTATCAATGTATGCCCAGAAAAGGGCATTTAGACGTGCCTTCCAAATCAAAACAATTTCTGATTTAAAGCGACAAAACTCAAGGCTTAGTGAAATAAGTTTGTGTGAGGAGAAAACAACCTCTGAAAGTATGTCTGTCCACTGACGTAATGCTTGTGGGTTCTGATTTCCAGGGGTACGTTAGAACCGGTGAAAATCTCATCTTAGGTGTTAACCCAGACACGGACCGAGTACTGAGTTCACAATGCTGGGGTGGACGGTGTTTGGGGGCAAATACGATGGAATGTAGCCTGTAAACAACTTTTTGCTTCACCCTGCTCAGAAAGAGTTTCATTGAGCAATGGTGTAACCTAGACGTTACGTTGGAGTGGCTGATCCAATTGATAAGCGCAACTTTTTGTGCATGAATACTTCAAGAAAAAACTCACATGCAAGTTTTATAACACAACCTCGGTCTTGATAACTTTCAACATCACGCAAAAAATTATTAATTATTCTCGTAATAAATTTTTTGAACTTTAATTAAATTAGTAATGGTCTACATGGGTACGCTACTATTTTTAAACGAGGCTTTTATTATATTGCACAAGGACGGAATCCTTATAAAGTTCAATAACGTTTTGACTGAAATGAATATTGACTTCTCTTCGTCGTTGTCTCTGTCTGTTTTGTCTTGTTTGAGTTTCTGCTAGGCAATTTTGTGTCCACTGAATAAAGTTTAGCTGGGAACCTCCTTTTATCGATCCAGGGGATGTACATACATACATGTACATACATATATTATTCAGATCACTCCTCGACGAGGCTTTTCAGTGACCTATTACATCAAGTATTACGCTTACTTTTATTACCCACTTATAGCCTGTACAAATTATCTTTACAACAATTGTGATATATTATCGAAACGCACCCAACCTGTCAACTTTACGTACCCGCGGGAAGAAACCGGCGCGACAGGGGAAAACCCACGACCTTCAGCCGAGTGTTAACTGATTCTTTTCACATGGGCGCGGGTAGCGAGACTCGAACCCGCGCTCTCAGCCGTGAAAGGACTCCGCCACCAAAACCCCTTGTTTGTCCGCGTGACTTAAAAGTTAAGGTGGGCTGATTCAAATCAAACCAATGAGATTCAAGCATATATATATATATATATATATATATATATATATATATATATATATATATATATATATATATATATATATATATATATATATATAGTTTTTCGTTTTACCTCAAAGAACCATCAGGTGATTCCTATACGGATGAAACAGACTGTTGTGGTTCTTTGAGGTAAAACGAAAAACTATATTACGCTCTATCTATATGGTATTGAGCACTGTTTGTGTTTCGTAAACCAAAATCTTTAGCTATATATATATATATATATATATATATATATATATATATATATATATATATATATATATATATATATATATATATATATATATATACATATATATATATATATATATATATATATATGTGCGCACGCTCACTGCTTGCAAGTTGAGCGCTCTGGCATGGTTTTGATGTCCCACAATCGTGAGGCATCAAAGGTAACTGTAAATAGCAGTTACTTTCGTCCTGCTCATCAGCCCATAAGGCCGAAACGGTACCGTCTGTAGTTAGATATCGCTCTATGGCCTTTAGGTCATATTGAGCGCTCTACAGGATGAGCCATTACCGCTTACGCATTGCGCACGCTCACTGCTTGCAGTTTGAGCGCTCCGGCATGGTTTTGATGTCCCACATTCGTGAGGCATCAAAGGTAACTGTAAATAACAGTTACTTTCATCCTGCTCATCAGCACTACACTGATGAGGCCCATAAGGCCGAAACGGTACCGTCTGTAGTTATATAATACTAGTCTGTAGTTATATAATATATATATATATATCAGGGGCGGATCTAGGGGTGATCAGAGCGATCACGCGACTAAGGTAAAAATTGGCCAGAAAAATAGAAAATTGTTAAATTAAAATAGCAGTCCAGTTATCAAACTTCGCGCAGTGTAATGTATTGAAAGTTTAACAGTCCAGTTTTGAAATATCATTCAGTAGCAAGGCCTTCGAACATGAACGCGCAGAAAAGCGGTCTTACGCATGAGTTTTGCACGCTCTGAGTCGGATGCTAGCCATCTGATTGGCTATCTTGATTTTTGCGCGATCTGTGGGGAGTTCTGATCGCTAAAGCGATCAGGGGCTCGAATACAGGCCATCCGATTGGCTAATTCAAAACAATCCTGAATCCCCATTGGCTGGATTTTTTTGATCGATCATACCGTTCAGGCGTTATTAGTGCACGGAAAGGTCTATGACGTTTCTGGCCCTTTGTGATCGCTACTGTCTTTGTGCTTGACCGCAAATTATTAAAGTTCAATGGGAAGATTTACTATCAGAAATTCTGAACTAATACTTGCAATGCCTGTTAGTATTTACGAAACCGTAAAGGCTGCTTTAGAGAATGACGATCGACAAAATGTCAAAGATATTGAAGCTGATTTAAACAAACGAGTAACGGTGTACCGAAGCTTTCTATTAAAGATTTATTGAGCGTTGTATAAAATAACATAAGCGGCCTTCCTCGCACGAAATTTTGGTGCGGAATCTTACATCCTGAAGTACGTTCGAGAGAAGACAAAAAATCTTTTGTACGGCCTAAAGATATATACATTATATTTTAACTATAGATATAGCATTATAACTGTTGTATACTAATACTGTGGTTGATTCATTGTGCGTCTGTACGCGCATGCTATAATATCGGCGAGCACGCGTATAAGACGTATAAATATAAATACGAGACGAAATTTACGTAATATTTCCATCAATTTACATAAATACAGCGGCTTAATACATGCAGTTTCAGTGCGTTTATACTTTGTTTATGCTTCTTGTGATATGTGGACTTTATATACTAATCAGATAGCTACTTAATAACACTGTATTATTTATACCTATTTTAAACTACTGTCAAGTACACGACAATGCCTTATGTAGCATGGCCTTGTGTAAATGTAATACGATCTCTACAACATGTATACAATAAGTAAAATGGATCATGTTGCCATTGTGAATACTTATTCATGGCGCATGTTTCTGCTACGAATGAAACCACGGATGAAACTCGAGGAGCAGTGAATTAAACCTGCTTAAAATCAATCAAATGTTTTAAACTGCATCACTATATTGCAAAATTTTTTGACCATCCATGTCAAAGGAAAATATATGCGATAATAACAATTTTTAAAACGTCAAGTCATCCTTGTCAATCTATTTCTCGATGAGAATAGACACTTCCCGAATTTGCTTGAGTGCACACGAAACAATAGCTTGGAATCGAGGCGGACAATGTAATCCACTGGAAAACTATACTTAATTTGCTTGAGTGCACACGAAACAATAGCTTGGAATCGAGGCGGACAATGTAATCCATTGGAAAACTATACTTATTTCCAATGGATTACATTGTCCGCCTCGATTCCAAGCTATTGTTTCGTGTGCACTCAAGCAAATTCGGGAAGTGTCTATTAGATATCTGTTTGACATTTGGCGAAAAAGCAATTTTTTAAGTTACATTTTTTCGTTAACAGAACACATATAAAAAATATTAATTTGCTTGACAACCCCCCCCCCACGGCCCCCCGTCAAAAGTACCCCCTCCCCAAATGTTCAGCAAAGAAATTTTTGACTAACGTACGAAAAATCCTAGATCCGCCCCTGATATATATAATATTATTATATAACATTGATACTGCAGATCCTAAAGTAAAACAAAAGGATTTTTAACTAGAAAAATTTAACTTTAAATATACAACTATGTAAATTTGTATAACTTATAGTAAGATTTTTTTTATTTTCAGATTCTAATCGCACCAGCTTTTATTATGTGTTTATTATAATAATCTTGCGCTATATCTATAGAGTAGCGCGATTAGAATATTCTTTGTGTAGTTGCCAAATAATTTAACGAATTGCATGATACTAGAAATGTTAGTTCTTGCATGCATGCTTCACAAAGAATTTTGTGTTCCTGTCATGAAATTTTGTCTTCCTGTGTGGGCGTATATAGGAACTGATTTTGCCATGTAACACATACGGATGCACAGCCAATTGTTATCGGAAGTTTACTGCATGTATCAAAATAATGCCTTGAATTTGTTTGATGTCAAGGGATATTAATCATAAACAAGTTAACGTAATAAAATGAAATTGTATAAAACCTTTTAGGGAGTTGTTTTGAGTTTAGTTCCTCCGTATCTGCGTTGGTGAGTTAAAGAACGTGACAATAAGTCAATGTTTGCGTGCAAAAAGTCCACTAACTCTACTCCTTCTATTGATCATGACATTGATTGTAAAAGAGAATGTTGTGAAGATAAAATAGTTAGAATCGATCGTTGGGAAGGTGTGTTAAAAATGAAGATCTGATCAATCCTGCAATGAATTCCATTTAGGCCAGTGTAAACTCAAATATCACGCATGCATGGTTACATATACGTACACATGCATGTTGGCGTATTTGTCCCCCCACCCCCTTTTACAGTGTTGGTTTTGACATGCATTTGACAAAGCTTTAACCTAATCAATTGATAAGTTTTCAACTTTAAACTAGGGGGGACAGTTAAAAATTGCTGGTTCTCCACGTATGTATTGGGCAATGCGTTTCTATTTCCGCACACGCTGTCCACAATACTGATTCTAGGATTGCAGGTCTATATAGCTGAGGATCTGCATAATCTTCTAAGTAGCACTTGAAGTTGACACGTATACCTTAATTGATTTAAAGAAATAATAGTGGCTCACTGATTTCTTCGTCCAATTTCGTCCAATTTGAATATGAGTTACTATTCAATTCTTTCTGCAAAGGGTTAAAGAAATATTAGAACTAAAAAACTATAGAATAGTAAAATTAGAAAAAGGACGCACTTTTATATTCCTTGTAGCAAAAAGGTATTTTTAGATCTAGGATGTTCGACCCACCCACTTTTATTACAAAACATGTGGAAAATATTTGGTTTATTTTTTTTGTTTGAAAACATGGGAAATCATGAGAAGGAATTACCCGACTAAAATAGAAAAGGGTATATTTAGTTCTACGTCCGGTATATATAATGTATGTATGTAATGGATTATTATTTCCTTTACTCCATAACCAAACGAGTATGAGTTAAAATTATATGTTCGAAGAGTATTAAATTTAAAAATTTAACAATAAATCCAGTTGAATATTAGAGAAGATCTCAAAACGAGAAGTGGACTTGCCTGAAGTTGTTTGATTAGGTTGCGTGCCGTCGTAAACAAAGAAAATTAATGAAGGATGCAACGGACAAAGAATATTTATGAATACGTTGCATGCTTAGTGTATATTATATATCTTATTTTTAATATAAATGCATGCGTAGATACACGCGTAATAGACGTATACTAACTTCCATTCCTTGTGGGAATGTAGATACAATTCTTGCGAGGAATCGAGATAGGATCTATCTATAACTTAAGCTAAGTCACACAATGTAGCGTTTGGTATTATTTTGATCCTTTGATTCTGGTGGCATTCATTTGAGAGGATAAATATACCCCCGCCCAACTATCTGATAACAAAAATGCTATGGTTTTACGTATACAATAAACAAACCACTTAAACCAGTACAGTGAGTACACTTGCCGGATATTTTACACATTCTTGAAGACAGGAGCAATTTTTATTACTGTTAGTCATTTCCCTCAAGCTTCTGCATTACATGATATTTTAGGTTTCTTTATGTTCTTTAGTCATTTCTTAGGATTGATATTTGTATATTTCTAAATTGTCTTGAAGTTTTGTGTTCCTGTTTTCGTGTATAGGAGCCGATTACCAACAACAAACGGATGCACAAGCACTTGTTATCGCCGGAAGTACTTACGGTATATACCAAAGGGTTTTGAATTTGTGTGACGTCAAGAAATTTTAATAACAACTAGTCGGTCAACATATAAAGTTCGATTATTTGTTTTGAGTTTAGATCCTCTCTGAATGCATTTACTTAGCGGTTAAGATAGTGAAAATAAGAAATGTCTCTTTCCCAAAACTCCACTGGATCTGTCCTTAGTTTGGATCATGCAATGGATTGTAAAGGGGAACCCGACAGATTGGATCATGACATTCTTAAGTGTAAAGAAAAGTGTTGCAGATTGGGTCATGACATTAAATGTGAAGAAAACTGTTGCAAACGTAAAAAAAGAATCGATCGTTGGGAGACCGTTTTAAAATCCTATGAAGAACTGACCAAGCCTAGCTCTATGGCCAAACCCACGGTCATGGCAGACAATCATTTAACACGCGCTTTCAAGCTGACTCGCGAAATCAAAGAACTGAAGAAGAAGAACATAGAAGTGAAGAGTGAATTGAAAGCTCTTATTAAGAAGTCAAAACAGTTTACAGTCGACTTTTTAGACGCGTGCAGGGATAACGAAGAAGTTGATGTTCTTTTAAATTTTGAACATGTTAAAACGCTGAGAGACGCTGTAGCTGTTAAGCATAAAGAGGTAATATATATATATTGACCCATACTATACATAAACAATAATATAATTATACTGTATACATGTTGCAAACACGCATTCTTTTTTTGTATACATTTGACCAGATTTTATAGCAAAAGTTGCAAGCCCAATGAATATAATATATTATATAATACATTATTGAATTCTGATCATTTAATTGGCTGTTTATAGTCACGTGACTATGAATAAAAACACCATTTCGCAAGAGCGGAATGGAATACGTTTTATCCCATTGCACTCTTTGTGTTTTCGATAAATGGCATCCGTCAAAATGCTTCTCGTACGGTAATTGCAGTTTATTTTAACCCGAAATTCGAAACTCAGTAAATGGGATTTAATGCAAATACGACTCCCCAAAATGGCGAGAGCTTACAGTAAACCTTATAATATTAGTCTATGTTTTGTTGTATAAAACAAATAATGAATGTTTTTATTCGTGCAATGGTAAGAATATTTTCATTGAAATATTTCGCTGAAAGATGGAATGCAGTTCCATTAAAGTTCCTTTCACCTCATGAAATTATTATTACCATTGCACTCATAAACATTCATTATTTGTATAATGTATAAAAAATCAGTACACTATATCAGCAACACTATATAGCAACACAACAAACTTAATGTTCACCTATCAGCCAGTATATATAATGTATCGCATATCCGCAAGGAAATTGACTGAAATCAGACGTTATTCCTATAGGCTATACTGGTTTATTACAAAAGTAGCAGCAGACCTTGTGCTACTAAGTTAAAACCAATACCAGCCATACAGCGCATAAACAATATCCTAATAGACAAAGATTCGAACGGTTTAACATAACTGGAGGGCACTTGGAGACTGCCATGAATAAATTATACAATTGACGGGCTAATTACAAAGGAAGACAAAATTTTGCTAATTTCTCATCTATAACTTTCATTGACAATCATACATTTTAAATTAACCAAAACTTAACCAATTTGTCCTTGGATAATGTCCATTAGGCCTACAAATTGCTCTTTTTCACGAGCTTGTTGACGTAAAATGCGTTAGACATGCATGCAGTCTATCATTTCTATGGAGTATGGATATATTAATGTGCGATGGCATTATGTGAACGATTTAACATTTTTACACAGACATGTGCCAATAAAGTAACTATAGTTTCGGAGTCAATTACTCTTTTTGGGTAAACAAAGCATTTGTTTACGTACATTACGGACTTTACATCACCTTTAATAAGTCCACATATAAATAACATCGATTATTATATACCAAGTTTCGAAGTTCATGCTTTCTCGTGCCTCAATGGCTTCCTGCGAGGGCTTGCATCTAATTAAAATGAACTGTTTAGCATTGCGATTGTATGAAAGTGCTCATGCATCACTCGCAGCGAGCTGCGAGGAGCTTCGTGCTAGGACTGGAAATCCGCCTTTAAAGGCCGTATATAGTTTAATTGTCTAGGCAGACAAAATTTTTTACCCTATTTCAGATGAAGTATAGGACAAAGCATACCATATCGAACGTACTTCAGATTATGAAGCGTAAAACACCCCTGTTTTCAACCAAAACCATAAAATATACATATATATTTTAATTTAATTTTTTATGACTAAAACAAGTCAACAACATACCGTGCAGTGCGGTACCCATTATACACTTAATGTCTGTTCCCGAGGGAAATAGTTAGTTTTGTTTTCCAGAAAATCGCAATTTTAACAAAAATCAACTTTCAACAACATTGACACAAAAATTGTATTTCGTGAAGAAAATTTAAAATTAAAAGAACGGTTTCAGCAGCATATCCTGTTGCCTGTTGTGTATTGTTCTTCTCTTTTACATTCTTTATTTGAACACAAACTTGAAATCGTATTTTCTAATTATGCGAGTTGTGCCGCCATTTTGTTTATTTATCTATCACTTGTTGCCCGGCGGGATTTGTACATATTGCATTTATCCAAAGCCACGTGACTACAAATCAGCTAATCACGTTTGGTGTTCCCCTAGCTATATAAGAATATAATATATATAATATATATAGCGGTATGCAAAATGGGGTAAAAAAGCAAATGAGATTAAGCGCGAATTTAATAGTTGTTTTCTTAACAATTACTAATACTTTAATGTTTTTAATTTTATATAGTTTATTGCACATCGCCATGTTCAACAGGTGGTATACGAAAAAGTGCAGTATGAGAAGTGTGGAGCCAGATCTTTTGTCTCTGGTCTTTTAATATATGCCTTCTACACCCTAACTTTCCCAATTTTGGCATTTTTGTTCATTTTTAATTGGCCGAAATGTGTATCGGAGTATATGGGTACAACCTTTGGCAAGTTTGTGAGCCATACTTCTCAATTTTGTACTTTTGTTGCTCTGTTGGTTTTTTCGTCTTTAGGGGACACTCATGAGCCAAGTCCAACTGGTTAGTATATAATTTTAAAACTATTAGATGCATGCATACATGCACCCACATATTACTGATTCCAAATTAAAATATTTATTTTCTTCAATATATACCGTACTGTGAAGAAGCTTTAGGTCATCCGGACCCTGAAAGCCCAACAAGGCTTAAAAATATATTTAAATATATAAGAAAGACCTATTTTAGACGTCAAATTTCGGTCGAATTTAATTCCTGGGATAAAAATGCTTCTGAATTTTACTCGACAAAATTTGGAACTTAAATTAAAACAACTTCTGCCATTATGTGACAAAAACTGTTGATGAAGGCGTGTAATTAATTACATTAGTGCGGTCTTTTCCGCACTTGATATAGCAAGAAAATTAAAGAAAACGCCAGGGTTTTGTAGCTGACAATCAAATGTAATTTTATTCGAATCTTCAAATTTCTTGTGTGCATGCTTGCATTGCCATACTACTGTATATGATGGCTTTGTTTTGTTAAAACATCACATATTTATGTACATATTTATCATTATATTTAACAATTCAAAGCTTCAGATCCCCAAACCCAGATCACGGCAATTATTGGCAAATATGCCTTCAATACTATCATTCACTTCCAACACACTCAACAACACAAGTAGC